ATTTGTCGTACAACGTAGACAAAAATTGCAGAAAAAAACCCTGCAAACAAAAACACAAACTCTTGTTTCCACAACTCTTTTGGTACGAATCAAATGAATCCAAACATGTTTGTCTTCCTTCAACCAGCGTACCTCTCACTGCTGGAAGGCTGATTATTTTCTCTCAAATCACACCTGAATGCAGAAAGGGCCCGACTGAGCTTCAATAAACTTTAGTTTTATTATTTCAAAAGATTCTCTTCAGACTTACAATAAAAGATCTTTTTAACTTGTCATGTCTTCTAAGAATACTGTAGAAACAAAAATTCACGTCTGACCATCAGTGTGCTCAAGGTTCGAGGACCAAACCCTGATGGACAAACTATTCACACTAGGACTAAGCCCCTCTATTTGCAACTGGGTACTAGACTTCTTAACAAACAGACCACAGTCAGTGAGGATCCACAACTTCTCCTCCTCTACCATAACCCTCAGCACTGGCTGTCCTCAAGGATGTGTGTTGAGCCCTCTCCTGTTTACTTTGCTCACATATGACTGTACACCTACTCATCCAGGCTGTCATATTGTAAAGTTTGCAGATGATACAGCGGTGGTTGGATGCATCACAAACAACGATGAGTCCAGCTACAGGCAGGAGGTGGAACACCTGGAGAGCTGGTGCAGAGAGAATAACCTTCACATCAATGTGAAGAAGATGAAGGAGATGATTGTGGACTTCAGAAGGAACAAAAACACCTACACCCCCCTGAACATAAGAGGATCTGCGGTGGAAGTGGTCTCCAGCTACAAGTACTTGGGTGTACACATGAATGACAACCTCAGCTGGAGCAACAACACCACCAGCCTGATCAAGAAAGCTCATCAGAGACTCTACTTCCTCAGACGGCTGAGGCGAGCTGGTCTGGGAAGATTAGTCCTCACCTCCTTCTACAGGTGTGCAGTGGAGAGCATCCTGTGCTCGAGCATCAATGTGTGGCATGGAGGCTGCACAGCTGCAGAAAGAAAAGCTTTGCAGAGAGTGGTGAAGGCTGCACAGAAATCTGTCGGAATCAGCCTCGCATCTACACCTCCAGGTGCAGGAAGAGGGCCACCTGCATCATGAAGAACTCCGCTCACCCAGCACACACACTTTTTGCTCCACTCCCCTCAGGAAGGAGGTTAAGGAGCATTAAGTGTAGAACCACTAGACTGAGGAACAGCTTCTACCCTGAGGCTGTTAGACTCATCAATATCTAACCAGAATAATCCCTGTGAAAAATCACATCATGTTGCTGCTGATCTGTTTGAATGTTGATGTGTTCATGCGTGCACATCTGCTCACACAGACTCATGCTCATGTTTGTGCTGCTGTTCGATGTAATGTTTTTATGCTATTAGTGTTTAGTGTATTTTTAGTTTGTTTTTCTTGGTTTATATCTTAGATGTTATTATTGTTTTTTTTTACATATTTATTGTTGGATGTAACTGGGACCCTGTGTACATAATTTTGTTCCACCACATGTACCACTTGAGGTGGAACGACAAAGAATCTCTGACTCTGATTTTTAAGATGGGACTTAGCATTTCAGGGCAGCACGGTGGTGCAACTGGTAGAGCTGCTGCCTCTCAGCGAGCAGGTCCCTGGTTCAAACCCCGGTCCAGGGGCCTTTCTGGGTGGAGTTTGCATGTTCTCTCCGTGCATGCGTGGGTTTTCTCCAGGTGCTCCGGTTTCCTCCCACAGTCCAAAAACATGCATGTTAGGCTGATTGGTAACTCTAAAAAATTGTCCCTAGGTGTGAGTGAGAGAGTGAATGGTTGTTTGTCTCGTTTGTCTCTATGTGTCCCTGTGATGGACTTGCGACCCGTCCAGGGTGTACCCCGCCCCTCGCACAGTGATTGCTGGACATGGGCGACCCCCGTGACCCAAAATGGAATAAACGGGTAAAGATAATGGATGGATGGACTTAGCATTTCCACACAGCGACAGTTTGTTTGAGGTTTACTTTTCAGTCTGTGTTATTGTCTGCCTCTCAATAACTTGGCAGTCAGAGGGACAGTTGTGTGGTTACCATGACAACAAGAGCTTTTGAGCTTGGATCTTATTTTTCCATTTGATGTACAGCTCATACATGAGAATGTAGGCATTTTTATTGTTAGATTATTTCATTGATAGTTTTCACCCTGCAACACTTTTACAAAAATTTTCTAGTTAACCTTTTTCTTCTCAGTCCTCTCCCACCATGTTGCTGTTGTTGTTGTGGTTGTTGTCGTTGTTTTCGTTGTTGTTGTGGACTTGTTTTGGTTTCTTGGATGGATTTAAATTTCATTTCAGACTTGAGTCTAACCCACCCAGCTGTGCACAAATAAACCAGACTTGGACAACTTTTATAGACTGGGCTTAACTAGAGTTATTTTTTTATTTTCAAATATTATTGCGTACTTTTACGTGTCATTTTATGCTTAGAGTTTTGTTTATTGCTCCTTGTTGAATTATAATTGCTGTTTATGTTTTTACCTACATCCACCCTTTATGTACCAAAAACTCCTCAGGTTTTAAATTTTTTATTCTTTACAAAAATTGAAGCATTTCATGTTTGGTATTTACAGTAAGTGTACATTTAGCTCGAGTCTTTTACAGAGTGAGCAACACACACATCCAGCAGTGAGTAAGGGTGTCAGTCAGAGGTCAGAGCAGGGTGGGGGCGAGGCAGTACAAGGTCAAGACTTGTCCTCAGGACAGTCAGTCCACAACAACAGCCTCTCAGTCAGGGAGGCAGAGACGATGGAACAAGAGAAACTGAAAGTTGGAAACCATAAAGAATCAGAAACACAAGGAGTGTTTGTGGGTTGGAAGAGAATGCAAGACAACTGATGAAGGGTGGGGAGAGTGGGAAAGATACAAGAACAAACTTGTGTGGAAGAAAGGGAGGATGGAGGGATGAAGTAAGACGGAGCGACGGCAGACGGGTAGGTGGAGGTACAGACTGGGAGCTAAACTATAGAACGACAAGACTGCAGCGCTGACTGGTGCCCTCATCTATATGTGTGTGTGTGTGTGTGTGTGTGCGTGTCACAGACAGCAGTCATTCAGCAACCCCACAAAGACACCACTGTATACAGAGCAAGACGCCATAGACTCTCATCTTGTTTGAAACTTTCCTCTGCTGAGCCCCCACCACCACCCACACACACACACGTTTGTCTTTCTATCTTTACAGGGACTTTGCATTGACTTCCATTCATTTTTCATTCATTTCTAGAGCCTAACCCTAAACCTAGCTTACAAACCGTTTTTCTCAACTATTTTGGTCAGGTGTCCTCAGGCTGTTTCTGGCCATCTGACCTAAAACATTTGATTGTTATGCACTGATGATTGATTGTTTTGGACGGATGGTCCCTTTAAGCTTTCAAACCTTTTCATATACCTAACCCTAAACTTGCACTTCAGTCCTAAACCTAACCCCTAACTCACCAACAGTGCCTCTTCTTACAGCGGGGCTTTAGGCCCCATTAGGAGCAGTTGGTCCTCACAGTGTAGTTAGTATAAGTTGGAAAAGTGGGCCTTACTAAGTAACATAAACAAAGACAGTCGCCCCCCCCCCCCCCACACACACACACACAGAGCTTTATGTCTGAGACTAACCTAGTGTTTGATATTTGCTGCCCCCTGCTGGTAAATAGAGGTTATAACAGACTTAGGTTGAAAAAGCAGAACACCAGGAATTACTGCAAAAGTTTTTTTAGCCACAATTTGTTCAACAAGATTCTGCACAAAAATGTGGCTCTTTAGGCACTTGACAATTTCCTTTAATTGTGATCAAGAGGGCTGCAACGTGGTTTTAAAACTATTGTTGAGGAACCTTGATGAATCCAAACTCGCACTCATCCCTGAGCATAGAATCTCTCTGAGCCAAAAATGAAACAACATGTTTTTCTCTACACTGCAGTGTGGACAGTTCTTATTCAAACAAGTCTCTAGGAACTAAATGAACATAAAAGGAGTAAAATGGCTGAAAACAGAGAAGAGATATTGTAATGTTAGAGCTGTCTGACCTGCTGTCTTCAGTGTGTCCATCACTTTGTTGTGGTCCTGTTGTAGAGTGTGGAAACGACTGTGATGATCATGGTCATTTATCATGGCTCCAGTGTGAAATATAGCGCACAGGCTGTGGTTTCCAAGGACACAATGCAGACATATATCTTTTGCAATAAAAGTTGTAATGGACGTTGCCTTTTGAGCCGGGTGAAAACAGCCGTAGCAGCTCGTAGCTACCACTAGCTGTTTGTTTCGTCCTCTGGGTGGAAACGTGTAATATTGTTTCTCATGTTTGTTGTGTGCACTTTAGTTTGACACAACTTGCATGCGGTGTGGATGTTGTGCAGGTCGTTTCCCTTTAAAACCAGAGCAGCTGGCTTTCAGTGCTGTTTTATGTTTGGGTCAGCCATCTTCTATTCATCTGTTTTGTGCACATGCTCCAAAGTGTTCAGCATGCTCAACTTTTTGCGTTTCTCAACGTGGATCATTAATATTATGTAATTATCAATTTTCAGAATGTGTACATGAATTGGGAATCATTCATGCCTAGACTGCATGCATGAACAAAAGGATCGTACGGTGACCTCTAACATTTAACACTGTGCATTTAAACGATCGTACACACACGATGTGATGCAGCAGCTGCATGAAGCCGTACGGACACCATGTTGTGGAGCGAACAAAGAGATTGAGGGATGAATCACGTGTCAGATTATACTCTATTGCTTGAAGAAATACAAATAAATGTTAAAAAAACTAAGGAAATATCAATTTAATTGTTAATAAAATTGCTTCAATTCACAGTAAAAATAATGTTTCATACGTTGCAGCTTTAGTATAAATGTTTTTCTCCCCCCTGACCTTCATAACTTACCTGTGGATTAAAAGTTGACCTTCTAAACCTGTTCTTATTTTGAGCGCTCCAAACCTTAGCACGTCATGAATGTTTGATACTAACCCTCTTAATGTTTCTGTTTCTGCACAGCTGAACTGGAGTTTGTTCAGATTGTCATTATCATCGTGGTGATGACGGTGATGGTGGTGGTGATCATCTGCCTGCTCAACCACTACAAACTCTCCACCTGGTCCTTCATAACACGGCAGAGCCAGGCCCGCAGGCATGACCACGCCCTGCAACAGGTCAGTGAGCTCCCCTCTCTCTCCGTATGACTCTGTCTGATGTCACCACATGTTTCCTGCGGTGTCTGTCCATGATCTCCTGACACAAACTGTCAGGGTATTGTTTTGCTCTAATCTTTGGTTTTAGTGTTGAATGTAGGAGTTTTTAGAAACCAAGCAAACATCTTGGACTTGGCCAGTTACCATGACGACCTGTGAGGGCGGGGCCTCAGACATTGCTGGTCGTCAGTCTAGGAAAGATAATGGTTCTTTTACAAACAATTTTGAATCCATCATTCAGAGACAAATTATTCAGAAGTGGAAAACATTTAAGAAAACTCCAACAAAGTCAGGTCCTCTTCATTTTTGAGCATCAGTCAGGATGTTTCGAAACAAGTTGGCCATGGCCGCCTCAAACGAGTCGGCGGGGGAGGGGGCGGACTCCAGAAACCATCTCAGCACCATCAAACTGGTTCAAACTTCACTATGCGAAGGTGCTTTTTATAAGACTTGAGTTTGTTGTGGCTCCTTGGACTGATGAAGTCTTTTGGATGAAAGATGAAACCATTTAACAAAAAGAAACCGTCCAGAGGACCTGACGTAACTTTGCTGGATTTTTAACCTGGATTACTGGGCATGAATCAGGATATTTAAGAAAATTGCCAATCTCTCCAAGAGTAGATGTCTGAGTTCGGTCCAAGGTCAGACTGTGCAATGCTCCGAGAACTTGGAGCTACACCTCAGACAGTCCAGGCCTCAGTTGTTAAATGACGGATGTTCAAGTGTCTACGTTTAGAAAATGACAGAGCAGCCACAGCTTGTTTAGAAAGGTTGCCAGAAGTAAGCCTCTTCAGTCTAGAACCATCATGGGACAACAAAGTTGCATCTGAATCAGACTCCTGGTTTCAAACAAGATCTCAGAGAAAATGCATTTTGAACATATGAAACCAAAGTGGAGGTGCTCGTCCAGAATGCACAGTTTTAGCAGCACAAGCCCCTCATCCCATCTGTCAGCACGGTAGTGGAGGGCTGATGATATGAGCTTGTTCTGCTGCCACTGGACCTGGGCACCTCACAGTCAGTCAGCCATAAACTCCTTTGTAGACCTAATTATTCTAGAGTCAAACAACAGAACAACGATCCTAAACACAAAACAAATCTACAACAGAATGGAACAAGCAGTCTGAAGCTGCTGCAGTGGTCAAGGTTCAGAACTTGGTTAAAATGCTGCAGTGGGACATCAAGAGCTCTGTATGAACGAATGCCACCAAACAAAGAGAAGAGTGGCTCAAGGCTCTTCAGTAACCACAAGAAAGACTGATAAATACAGAAGAGGAATAAGGCCACGGTGCAATAATTTGTTTTCCCTTAATTCTGAGATTAAAATCAGAATTTGAGGAAAAAAAAAAAAGTGCTATGTGTTGTCATCATTGTATGTTCCCATACAAAGACAAATTTAGTTCTCTGCATTTAACCCATCACACCTGAGATACACCCAGGTGGAGCAGTGGGCGGCTATGTAAGTTCCCGGGGAGCAATTCGCGATTAGGTGTCCTGCTCAGAGACACCATGAGATGTGCAATGGCTGGGGATCGAACCCAGGACCTTCAGGTCCCGAGTTAACTGCCCTGCCCGTACACCATCTAGGCTCCCAAAAAAGTCAGAAGTCTGAGATTAAAGTCAGAATCCATCGATCTAGTTCATACTTTAATCTCAGAATTCTGACTTTTTTCTCAGAATTATGGAAATATTTTTTTTTGCATCATGGTGCTCATACATCTATCCATCCATCCATCCATCCATCCATCCATCCGTCCATCATCTTTACCCGTTTCTTCCTTTTCGGGTCATGGGGGTCACAGGTGCCCTTATCCAGCAGTCTCTGGGCGAGAGGCGGGGGACACCTGGACAGGTCTCCTGTCCATCACAAGGACACATAGAGACAAACAACTCTCTCACTCACACCTAGAGACAATTTAGAGTTCTCAATCAGTCTAACATGCATGTTTTGGTCTGTGGGAGGAATCTGGAGTACAACAATTTCCTGCGAGATCAATAAAGTTCTATCTTATCGTATCTTACCCGGAGAAAACCCACGCATCATGGAGAGAACATGCAAACTCCACCCAGAAAGGTCTCCGTCCAGGATTTGAACCGGCAACTTTCTCACTGAGAAGCAACAGCTCTACCAATTGAGCCATCGTGCCTCCCAGCCCTAATCCTCTTCCATAGATAAACAAGAAAAATCTTTAAGTTAATCTACTTCATGTGGTTCTCTGAAGTCAGTTTTCACACACTGCATCTGCTTCTGAGCTTAGTTCTCATGGATCAGTTTTAAATATAAAACACCAGACATGGCACTGATGCACATTATTTGCACACCACCTCACATCAGACCCACTCACAGGATGGAATATTGTCACACTGTGCTGGCCTGTAAACATAGTGTCATTGTTGTGTACTTTTAGAGTTTTTCTGTTGGTATTTAGTCATGACTTTTTTTTTTCCACTATATATTTTTAATAGACTGTCTCTATTTAAAAAACAATCTCCCACATAAAAATTCCTATTCTTAAAATTCCTACCACCTTAATGATGGTAGGAATTTTAAGCCATCGCCAAACAGAAGCTGGTGAACATAAATAAGAAATATCACTGAAGTGCAAACACAAGCTTCAGGCAGGTGTGCATCAGTTTTCCAAGCAGCCTCTGTTTTTTTCTTTGTCTGCAGGACGGGTGTCTGTGGCCTTCAGACAGTGGTTCTCGACAAGGTGCCTCGGAGGTAAGACCCCCAACTTAGTCTTGTGCACTGTCAGCATGTCCTACAAACACTGGATGCTCAACTTTTAAAACAGCGGCTGACCAGTTTGAGTTTATGTAGATGATATGTATCCTTAGTGGGTTGTATATAAAGGTGTTCTGTAAACAGTTATTTTATGTCTCGTCTTTAACAACTTCTAAAAAGTTCTGTTTTCAGTCGGCAGATATTTGTTTACAATACAGCAAGTGGCAGCTTCTAAAACTGAACAGCAACACATAGTTTCAGTGCCATATCTAGTTTATACGTCCACTGCAAGGATACTGTAGGTACGGGATGGAACTGGACTTCATGCACAAGTTATACAAAGGATCAATTAGCCCTTGGTCATGGAAGGACCATGGAAATGGTAAAACAGAAATGGTGTTTAAAGCAACTGACCTAAATTCATCCATCCATCCATTATATTTACCCACTTCTTCCTTTCTGGGTGACGGGGTCACTGGTGCCCATATCCAGCCTTCACTGTGTGAGAGGTGGGGGACACCTGGAGAGGTCTCCAGTCCATCAAACGAGATAAACAACCATTCACTCTCTCTCACCTAGAGACAATTTAGAGTTACCAATCAGCCTAACATGGGTGTTTTTGGACCCAGAATGTCACCCCCATCTGGGATTCGATCCGAAGACCTTCTTGCTGAGAGGTGGCAGCTCTACCATTTGTGCCACTGTTCCACCTTATTTTGTTTTTAATAGATCAAATGCCAAAAAAGAAGACAAGTAAGATATCAAGCTTAACATATGCTTTTATTCAGTTGCTTGAAATAAATGTAAATTTCTGCACACTAATTTAGAAATTTAAACCGTGTGTTTGTAAATGCAGTATATATCTTAATCTAGTTTATCAAGTTCAAGGTTCTTTGTCATTCACATCATATGTACATGAGGTGGAATGAAATTGTGTACTCAAGGTCCCAGTTTCCAAATTAGCAAAAATATAAAGTATTAAAAAAAGAAATGGTATACAAGGTCCTAAGATATCCGCTAAACAATAATAATTTAATATAATATGATGTATTAAACAGCAGCCTGAACATGAGCCTGTTGTGAGCAGATGGGTATGAATAGAGTGGCTTAAAGGCAAGAAATCAGCAGCACATATAAAGTGTCAAATCTCCAATTAAAGTGGCATTACAGTGATTATCCTGGTTAGAGATTCATGAGTCTAACAGCCTCAGGGTAGAAGCTGTTCCTCAGTCTAGTGGTTCTACAATTAATGCTCCTCAACCTCCTCCCTGAGGGGAGTGGGGCAAAAAGTGTGTGTGTGGGTGAGTGGGGTCCTTCATGATGCAGGTGGCTCCCTTCCTGCATCTGGAGGTGTAGATGTCTGAAGGTGGGGAGACTGACTCCAACATCTTCTGTGCAGCCTTCACCACTCTCTGCAAAGCTTTTCTTTCTGCAGCTGTGCAGCCTCCATGCCACACGTTGATGTTGGAGCACAGGAAGCTCTCCACTGCACACCTGTAGAAGGAGGTGAGGACTGAGCTTCCCAGTCCAGCTCGTCTCAGCCGTCTGAGGAAGTAGAGTCTCTGATGAACTTTCTTGATCAGGCTGGCTGTGTTGTTGCGCCAGCTGAGGTTGTTGTTCAGGTGCACACCCAAATAATTGTAGCTGGAGACCACTTCCACCACAGATCCTCCTATATACAGGGGGTGGCCGAGTGTAGTTGTTTGTTTCTTCTGAAATCCACAATCATTTTCTTCGTCTTCTTCACATTGATGCGAAGGTTTTTCTTCCTGCACCAGCTCTCCAGGTGTTTCACCTCCTGCCTGTAGCTGGACTCGTTGTTTGTGATGCATCCCACCACCGCCGTATTGTCTGCAATCTAATCGAGAGGGTCTGGAGATTTCCCGATGGGCCGGTCTGATGTGTGGGCTGCAGGGTCAGTGCTCCCTGCTTTTTTTTTCATTTAAGAACTTTTTATTAAGAACAGATAAACACAGAACACCTCTGCCCTGCCCTGCCTTTAAAGACCCAGGGCTGCCGGCAGCTTTCTTTTTTTTTTTTTTTTTTTCCCACGAGTCGGATCCACAACACAACCTGTCAATCAATCCAGTAGGCGTGTCAGCAAATGACCAATCGGCAACGTCAATTTATCCCAAATGTAAACGCCCCTTTCCTGCAGAGCTGGACTGCAGCCCATCAGGGTGTATGCTGGAGTATGAAGTCTCAACTGTCTGCAGACAGTACGTGCGTAGTCTGCGTGACTCACGGAGTACACACAGTACACCTGAGTATGTTGGGACCTTTAGAAGCATTGTGGAGCAGTTGGAGATCATCATTTGTACAAAGAAATGGTGTAAGATCTGACCTCTGCAATATCACGTGTGGAGTTCCTCAAGGCTCTGTACTTGGACCAAAGTTATTTATTTTATATGTGAATGACTTAGTGAATGTATCAGGACTCCTCAAATGTGTCCTTTTTGATCAAAGAAAGATCAAAGCTGAATTGTTAAAGTATATATGAAGTAGCTTAGTGTGTGTTTTGTATTAGAATTGGAAAAATTAGAAAGAGTTATTCATTTTGTTCTGTTACTTGAAATATATGATTGAAATAATTGTTTGAAAAAGGGGCAGATATAATAAGATTTTTTCTTCTTTCTGCTGCCTTTCATTTTAAATCTCTTGTATCTTTTTATAGTTATGAAACTGTTTTGTATTTTTAAAATGAATAAACTTTATACCATACCATACCATGTCAGATTAGATGCTTTAATCTATCATTCCTTGATCTCTCGACAAGCCTGGGACAGAGACACTGACAAGAAAACAAGGACTTATTCAGTTTCTGTTTAAGTTGTACATTACTACAAAGGTGTAGTTTGTGTGCCTTTAACAATGTTTTTAAATAGTCAAAAATGAATTAAATTAAATTTTAGTTTAATAGTCCCCACCTGATTGAAGGTGGGTTGTTTATATACCACCTTTTGTGTCTTGGGGTCCCATCTGTGGGAGAAATGCTTTTTTAAATCATTATTCTTTTGCACAAATTATTTTCATTCAAAGTGAGACTAGCTGTTAGAAGCATTCAGAGTTCATCTGGATGTCTGATGTATGAGTGAACCAAGAAATCATGTGGTATTTTATGAAAGAAGCAAAAAATAATGATCAAATTTTATTAATATATCCACAGAGCAATTAACCAACATCGTGAGGCTGCTGGCCCCTATAATTGTAAAGTGTGAGGGCCTTGACTGGCTATAAACTACCTAATAGTTTCATGTGTTCCTACCTCATATCCAATAAACTCATTTTTTTAGCTTATTATTAGCAAAAGCCACTAGAGTCAGATATAATATATTATTATATATTATGTGTGTGTGTGTGTGTGTGTATGTGTGTGTATGTATATATATGTGTGTGTGTGTGTGTGTGTGTGTGTATATATATATATATATATATATATATATATATTACATAAGCACTAATAGCATAAAAACAATAAACACAATACGCCGAACAGCAGCACGGACATGAGTCTGTGTGAACAGATGAGCACAAATGTACACAGCAACATGAAACTGATCAGCAGCGACATGAAACTGATCAGCAGCGACATGATGTGATTTTTCACAGTGACGTCACGGCTCGGCTTGCTTGGACTCCTTGAGAAGCCGGGCCAGAATTCTGGGAGGTGAGCTGGTCCCACAGTAAGAGTTCTCCAGTATTTTAGACTCTGTCTTTTGTATAGATATCTTAAATGAATCTATGCAAAAAATGTCTCTCACCCCTACTCTGTTATTTAATTTATTTATGACTGCTTATTTGTCAGTACCTGGCTTTGTCTAATTAGACTGTGCTTACAGGAATACAAGGAGGACAGAAGTAGCTGGACATTTGTCGCAAATCAGGAGTGATTTGTGACAAAAGGGTGACAAGACAGTGGTGAGACCAGCTTTGTTGTATGGTCTGGAGATGTATGGATGCTGTTAGAGAGGACATGGAGGTAGTGTGAGTGAGGACAGAGTGAGATGGAGGAGGAGGACTCACTGTGGAGACCCCTGAAGAGGGAAAAGTTGAATGAAAATGAAGATGAAGATGAAGAAGTAGAAGAAGATCCATGAACTGGAGCTTGTACTGGACTGGCAACACATGCCAACATAATCAGAGCCGACATGTTCTCAAAGAACTATCCATCCAAAACCACAAACACCAGTATCTTCACCATGGGGCGGGGGGGGGGGGGGGGGGGGGGGGGTTTGCTTAACGCCTCATTCCCAGATGGAAGATCTTATGGGTCGTGGTGGGACAAAGCAGCTGTGGCAGGACTCTGAATGCATCATGGTCATGTATTGGTTATTGATCAGTGATCACTGGTCATTGATGAGTTGATACACTGAGGCTGGCTGCACTGAAGCAGATACTTCCTTTAAACACCTCACAACCAAAGAGGGAATTAGGAGAGGAAAAAAGAATATGTTGCATAAATAAAAACAGTAGAGATGAGGGAAGTAGGAGGGGGGCAGTGGGGGGGGGGGGGGTGGGTGGGGGTGGTGGAGGGGCGGGGAGGGGGGGGGGGGGGGGCCTGCGCGTCATTAATCAGCAACACCTCCCCTGACACCGTCTAGACAGCCGTCTGAGAGCTGCCCTGCTCTGCTGCTGCGCTCTGCTCCCTCTATCCCCCCCCCCCCCCCCATCTTTCAATCTATCCATCTCTACTTCCTCTCTGTCGCTCTCTCTGTTCCTTTCTGTCTCTCCTTCATCTCCACGGCTTTTTTCCTCTTCTCCTTTCTGTCGTCTCCATCCTCATCTCAGCAGCCTTTCTTTTTAATCCTGTCTGTTTCACCCTTTCTTCCTCTCTCCCCATTTCAGTCGCCCTGATCCCTCTCCCCCAGGTTTTTGATTTATTTATTCTTTTTTTTTTTTTTCAAAGTCGGTTGTTCTCTTCACCCAGACGGTCTTGTCAGTGGGGGTAGATGATTACAGACACAGTCTCTAATTGAAATGGCTTTCCTCTGATAATG